ATGCAAGGTACTGTCATTCACAGTATGTTTTTATGATGGAATGGTCTATCTTGTCCAGATTGAATTTTTGACTCCCAGTAGACACTGGGAAACTAAAGTCATTTATCTGTCAGCTTGCTAGGGGATGTTTTAAATTTCTGAAAACAGCAATATTGTATTAGCATGAACCATTTGGGTAAATTTGTTTCAAGGAGATAATAAATAACTAAACTACTTGGTTAAAAAATCACAAACAATTTGTTCCTGTCATCTGGTGGTGGTTAAATTAGGAAAAATAGCTCTCTAAAGGTGTAAGTAATCTATGAATCTAGTTTGAGGCTCTTGCTAGCTGTATGCTATCAGATTGCACATAATGCACTGAAATCCACGGATATCCCCCGTGTTTGGGTGTAAAATTCCTTCTAAGACGATGTTATTTAATAATTTGCATGAAAATGTTCAGCTAGAAGGATAGCAGGGAAAGAAGATGACTCAACTCTGTAATCTGTGCCAGCGATAATTAGTTTATGTGCTATAGTTTTGCAGTCTTAAATGATACTAATATAACTGTGTACCTTCTGGAAAAGGGACTGAAAGAATTTTGAGTGATAGAATAGACAAACAATTAGGACCATACACACACATGTGCAAACACACATGCTTGACTTGATCAACAGAGGAGGAACGTCTCAAATATCTGAAATTCTTCACTGTCACCTGTTTTAATATCTAGGAAGGTTTTGTGTTACGTGGTCATACCATCCATGTATGATAAGAGATATTCTTCAGTTATAGCAGATTGAAGCAACTGGCCCAGCTGCCTCCACATCTTGTCACATGTGAATCAGGAGGGCCAGAACTTGACTCTTAGGTCAGGGTTAATAGTCTACATCTTTGTTGCCCCCGCATTTAGCACAGAGTGATGTCAGAAGAGTGCTGTTGAATGAGTGGGGTGTATGGCTTCATCTCTTGGTCAGGAGAACTCGGTATCTTCCTATTCTAAGTCTAGGTGAGATGGAGCCAGAAGCAGGGCAAAGGGCACTCAGCTGACTGATCCTCCTGCCTCTCCTCCAGCTTCCCCCACACAGACCAGTAACTGTTAGCTGTTTTTAAACAATATCTTTCCCTAATTTTCTTTTAGCATAGAGTTCATTTTAACCAAAATTTATCCCTATGTAAACATCAGGGCATAGAAGTAGGCCTGATTCACTGTGAATTGTCCTTTATTCCTGGAAACTGTCCTTTAACCCAATCATCTAAAAATTGTTACTGGATTTATTCTGGTGATTCAGTGATTTATGTGATTTGATTTCAGACTGATTTAGTTTAATGTAGCTGCACACATCTGAAAATATATATACATATATTTATATACACACACACACACATATATAATAGAAGAGCTAATATGTACCTCTATGAGGCAGAAGAGATGGCTCTAAATGAATGTGATAAGAAAGAGAATTAAGATTATCATTAGTATTAAAATTATGATTTTTCTCGTCTATATTCAAAATTGTTTATGAATCAAATAATTCTGAAATTATGTAAACAAAAGCCATAGTAAAGCAAATCACTGCAATTTTCCACAAGAAATTATGATGAATTGTGACCTAAAACGTTTTTGTATAGTTACATAATTTAAAGGTCGCATGGATATTTGCCATTTATTTTAACATCATGCTGCCATGTAGGTGGACTAGGTTGAGAGATTAAATACAGAGTTACAGTTTTCCCAAATCCTGATGCCCTATGGTGATTTATCTTTACTAAAGTTGATCAATTTAGCTTTTCTGTTAGATAAAATAAGGGAATAATGCAGTATACATGCTATCAATGCAAAGTCTGAGGTTTGAGAAAGGAAAGTGTACTTATAAAGATTAAAGAAAAGCTTCTGATCCAAAAGCAATATCACATTTATTGAAGAAAAGAAATTTTGTTTTAATACAGTGGACATAATCAGTTGCACATTCCACTCAGGTCTGTGTTCTCTTATTGCAATGTGATAGCCTGTCTAAGCATATGTGTTTGATTAAGTACTTCCAAGATATGTTGTTGTCATATAAAAAAGACATACTTGTTTTTCTTTGCATTTATATTTTGACTGGCATTCTTGATTCCAGCTTGTGCCTCATCCAGCCCAGCATTTCTCATGATGTATTGTGCATAGAAGTTAAATAAGCAGGATGACAGTACAGGGTGACAATACAGCCTTGACATACTCCTTTTCCTATTTTGAAAAGACCCTGATGCTGGGAAAGATTGAAGGTGGGAGGAGAAGGGGACGACAGAGGATGATGATGGTTGGATGGCATCACCCACTCAATGGACATGAGTTTGAGTAAACTCTGGGCGTTCGTGATGGACAGGAAAGCCTGGCGTGCTGCAGTCCACGGGGTTGCAAAGAGTTGCAACTGAGTTACTGAACTGAACTGATATTTTGACCATGTTAGACTTGGGCTTTGTATAAGGAAAGAGCTCCTTAAATGTAGAAATATAAACTACCTAGTCACAAGAAGTACTGATGTTTGGCATGCAGTATCACTTTATGCCTAATATATTTTGTTTTCAGTTTATAAAAAATTTTTTTAAAAAAAGCCAGGTTTGGCATTACATGTCTGATGATTTTCGGAAAATTGTCTGTAAATCCATACATAAAAGTTACATACAGTTAGCAATACACATTTTCAATAACAATTTTAGAAGCAATATAGAGCTTCTAAAAGAAACGGTAGTAGTGAGGTTTTATATAAAGTATAATATAGTAACAAAGGAAAAATACAGAAATTCTCAAAAAGATTTTTCTCTATTTTAATTTTTATTTCAACTTCAGTCACAGTCTATCTTAGTAGAGTCAAATACTTAGCTTGAGTTAAAACTAGTGTTTCTTTATCACACCTTACCCTCTTCTAACACTGTATGTGATACTCTTCATCTTTTATATAATAAATAAATTCTCTTTGTTACTGTGACCATGTGTCACACATAAGAAAAGATTTTAAGTAATCATTATAGTCCATTAGCTCTGGTTCCATGGACTAAGTGTAATCCTAAATAAATGAATTATTTTATATAGTTATCTGAACATTTTATTTTACCTAATTAGAGGTGGCTATCTTTACTTAACTTTGTGTCTTTCTTAGCACAGATGTATTTACAAATAGGTGGTGAATGAGTGTTGAAAGGATGCTACTGAACTGCGTGAAATTTAATACTATTTTACCTTGTTTTCCAAATGTTCCAATTTGGTAAATATAAGTAATCAGTTGGCAAACATAATATCTAAAATGAAGTAAACTTATTCAGTGTTTTAAATTTTGATAGAATCCACAATCTAAATTGAAAATTGTCTCCTAAGTATAAATTACAGGGTTCCATGAGGGATCAATAAACTAGTAATTGGATTTGAGTCTCAGGAGAATTCCAAAGGGTCTCTTGATTTATGTATGTGATGAATTCTGATTTGTATTTTACCTTTGTTACAAACCTAATGCTATAAGTAATAAATGTTCCAGGACATAGAAGTTTTATGTGTATGAAAATTCTCTAGCTACTTATTCTTTTAAAAAAAAGATTAAATGGTAGTTTTAAAAATGTTAATGATGTTAAATGAAATTAAAACTCCCAAGTTTCATTCAGTATTACAAATCTTATATTCTTATATTTATGTATGTAGTGTTTGGTTGGTTATTTGGTCTTCAGAGAGATCTGTATTTTATAAATCTTCACTATCATAGTATATTTCTCAAATCAAAAAAATAGGCAGAATCTGTGCCCCTACCCAAATAAAAACAAAACAAGATCTCAATCTCTTCTTCTTTTGGAGATTATAATGTGCATTCATACACTGAAGCTGTATGAATTACTGCTGAAAAGAGACAATTTTAACTTTATCATTTATTCTGAAATCATGACCATGGAATAGTTTTGCTTATAAAAAATCTATTACATCTTTAAGAACTAGTAATTTTCTTTAGAACATACTTTAAGAAGCACTAATTTATTCTATTTTCCCCAAGTAATTAAACAAAATTCTATCAATTGTGATTTTGTTAGTAAACTTTTGGATTATCCTTATTTGTAAATGTTTAAGAGACAGAGATAAGTACACTTTTACATGATACTCAAAATACAAAAGACATACAGACGATGAAGAACACGCATCTTCAATCAGTTTAGGAAAAGAAATTTTTAAAAAATCAGTATATATGTATTATTTTTAAATTGCATAGAACTAGCCTTGTAGATAGAACAAGAATTGAAAATTCCTTGAGTTGTTTTATCCACTTTCCTTTCCGTTTTTCCTCTGTAACACAATTTATGTCCATAATTTATATTTATGACATATTCAGCAACATTGACAGCTAGTAGAAATGTCCACACACATTCATTCTTGAAAAGTTAACACTCATTTGCTACTTCAGTAGAATATGAGACCATTAAGAGTGTTGGATTATCTGATATTTTTGCTGTCTAAATTCACAGACAATCTTGATTCCTTATCTGATTTTCCTGAAGAAATTCCTGCTAATGTCATGCAGCTACACTTTTCTTCAAAGAATAATTTCGACGCTTGATATATATTTTTTAAACATAATGGTTTTAGCCAAATGTTAACAAGCCAGTTATTCCGTAGTCTAGAATTATCCTATCTGTCATTTCATGATTTAGGTGAAGAGACAGAGAGAGAGAGAGAGAGAGAGTGTGTGTGTGTCTATGTATAAATTATTTGTGTTAAAGATTTTTCAATTTTTTCTTGACAAATTGACCTCAGATTTGCACTGAGGTATTTTGCTCCATTGCAAGATGTGCTTTTCTAATGTCACTGATATAGTGTTTTAATATGTTCTTGTAGAAAATATTGGCTAATATTTATGGGTCTTTGTGGAATATATCATAAAAGGAATACTATGTGAGTCTTATTATTTCATATGTGAATAAAATATACTTAGTGTTTGATCCAGTATGTTTTTATGTTTTTAATCAAATCAATAAAGCATTCCTTTTTCCTTTTTTTATAGAGCAATGAAGTTGTCTACTACAATGCAAAGGATGATCTTGATGTGAGTATTACAAGTTTTACATTACCTTGCATGCTAAACTTAACTAGACTAGGGCGAATGGCTTTCTTAACAAGCTGACCATGTCATACATTTAGTTGGATTCATGTTCCCATCCAGCTTTAAAATCGTAGTTGCTTATAAGCATTAACACCTATTTAAATTCAAACTGTTTTTCTCTCATCTTAGATGTGCTACAGCTAATTCTGTGATCCAAAAATTTCAGTTTAGTTCTACATATTCTTGAAATCCTGCTAACTTCATCAGGTTTGCTGGAGTTGGGCCATTTCACATAAAACTTTTAAGAATTTGTAAAGAATTGTAAGATAATATAGTTTACAATTTACTATAACCTTTTTGGGGTAGTTTAAAGTGCTTTAGATATGTTAATAGTATTGCTCTTGTAGACCCTTAGATGGTGAATAAAAATGAACTGTGTTTTATGATTGGTTTATTAATTTAGCCATTACAGAGAGACTGAAATATGCTAAACTGAAAATGCTAAAGCAAAACAAAAGATTATTCCTCTCTAATGGCACTTTCTGTGTGCAAGGCCTAAGCAACTCTCTATAATCCAGGCCCTACAAATCTTTCTCTCATGATTTTTTCTTCTCCTCAAAATAGCTTTTCTATTTTATGGTCCAAAATGGATGCTGCACTATCCACAATGACATTTGAATTCTGTACTTCAGAAAGGAGTCAGATGGCACTGAAGGTCATATTCTGGAAATTACAGAAGACACATCTGTCTGCACCTGTTGTCTACTACTTAATTACTAGTGTTACCTAGTTGCCAGAAGATGTGCAATGTAATTCCCCATCCTCCTCCCACCTTCCCCTAAGCATATAGGCAAATAAAATACAAAGTTCCATTACCAAAGAGAGAATAGAGAGAATAGTAGTTGGGAGTTAATTATTAGTTTCTATACTTAACTTCAATTTGCTCTTCCTGGCATATTGAAGTTAATGCCCACATCTACCCCTTCAATTGAGTAACTTCTATAAACTTCTATTAATATAGTCAAATTCTTCAACTTGGAATGGAGCAGAAAATTCTCACTTATAGTAAAATAATTATAACATTTTGTGCTGTATTTAGTATTATTTAGTTCTTAATGCGTATGTTTTGATCACAGTGACGAAAATGTTTTCTGCAATAGAAATATATAGTCTTTATTTTTTTAATTAATTTATTTTTTATTGAAGGATAATTGCTTTACAGAATTTTGTTGTTTGCTGTCAAACCTCAACATGAATCGTAGGTATACATATATCCCTTCCTTTTGAACCTCCCTCCCATCTCCCTCCCCAGCCCACTCCTCTAGGTTGATACAGAGCCCCTGTTTGAGTTTCCTGAGCCATACAACAAATTCCTGTAGGTTATTTATTTATACATGGTAATGTAAGTGTCTGTGTTACTCTTTCCATACATCTCACCCTCTCCTCCCCTCTCCGCATGTCCATAAGCCTATTCTCTATGGCTGTTTCTCCATTGTTGCCCTGTAAATAAATTCTTGAGTACCATTTTTCTAGATTCTGTATTTATGCATTAGCATATGGTATTTATCTTTCTCTTTCTGAAATCTTGCCAGTAATGTGAAGCTATAGAAAATAGGTAGGCCAGATTTAGCTGTAGATATATTTTGATGTGCTGACACAAAAGCCAAGGAGCTTGCCTTTGGATGTCATACATTCTCCAGCTTGCCCCAATTCCACTCTCCTTGTTATCTTATTCTCTGTCTATATCACACATCTACACACACAGAGAATAATTAGAATTGCCTTAACATAATACAGGGATAGAATCCTCAGCACACCAACACTTAAGGAAAGGTCTTGAAGGCAGAGTAGGGTGTGTAGAATAAGAGTAGATGGAAATGAGGAAAAAGTAGCTTTCGTAATAGAAGTAAATCATATGTAAAAGCCCATAATTTTAGTTTATGTTGACTTAAAGACTAATTGTTCCTATTTTTCTTCCATGTTTATTTGTCCATCACCAAGTTAAGATTTGAATATAAAGAATGACATATTCAAGTGTAATCTATTGATTTTGTTCATTATAATGATGATTCATGGCCTCATTTAAAGGTAAAGCAAGCATTTAAAGGTGATCAGTTATCTCTTTGGAGTGTAACTTTCTATTAGCTACATCTGAATTAGTTTGTGGAGAGCTGTCACGTTGTAAGCTTTTCAAGTACTTTGATATAAGACAGTTCCTCAGGGTCATTTTATAATCTCCATGCTACTCTAGGTCGATGCTATTTATATTCACCTTCTGGGTATAAAAATAAAAACTTAGTGACAGCCAGATTTAACTAAAGTGGTGACTGAAATAAGGGTAAAAGTAATGTCCCTTAGGATTGTGTAATATTACAAAAAACTATGATTATATTCATTCACACAGATTTTTGCATTGAAACTTCAAAATGTAAATATTACTGGGCTAAATTATTTGGTTATTTGGTTAGCCACAATTCTCCTGGTAGACAAAAGGTACATAAAGTACGTAGCCACACTAGAACTGTAAGGTGATCATTTCTGTGCCTTGTGCCAGTTAATATTAGCATATTCTCTCCTCTAATTACCTGATTATGATATCCTACACGTTTTGTGCTAAGTAGTCTTTAAAAACTAATTGAAATACTACCTACTCTTGAAGCCTGCCTTGGTTTTTCTAGATAGCAAATGGTATTTCCTTCTTCTGAGTACCCTAAATAACTTGTTACACATTTTTGGTTTTAATGGTCTAATACCATACACTATAGTATTTTTATATAGGGACAACCTTCTTTATTACATTTTTGTGTCTTGAGAGAAGGGTCTTAATCATTTTCTCTCTTTAACGATTTACAGTAACTGCTGACATGATGCTATTACATTGGACGGTTGGTTACGTGCTTCAGTTCCCCAGTTGCTCATGTAGCATTCGTGAAGGTTGTTCACCTTTTAGGTGGTGCTGCATTTGCAGAGTAAAGAGGAAATCTGCGAACATGGTAGTAAAGGAAATGTTTGTTTTGCTTCAAGGTTGGGTGGAAACAAGATTAAGAGAGGATTGGCAAGATTGGCTTTGACTATGGACTGTCTTTGAATTAATTTTTTTTAATATAGACATTTGAAGATGGGAACAGAGTCGACCTTGTTCTTTCCTTTTCTCTCATGTGTTCCTTCTTCCCATTAGCCTCTGGTTCAATCATGAGGGCTAAGTAAAGACATACAGACAGTCAGCTTTGCCCTATGTCTAAAACTGATTCAAGCTGAGAATAAGTATTAGAGTTAGAATATTTGTAGGCAATTACTGCAGGTAATATAAGATCAGAAATTTTGGTTCTAAGACTGAAGAGATCTGATAAACTAAGCTTTTATGAATATTTGTGAAACATGAAATCAAGCCTATTAGTCCATTGAACTAAATTTTGTCTAATTTTGCATTTAGTAATAGTAAGTTGCTGAATTTCATTTTCAGAGAGACTACAGCATTAATGTACACATAATGTTTTAATGTAAGATTAGTTTTTAACTTTTTATCAAGAAAATTGTTTTAAATATAAAAAAGAAAGAATAATAAACTGAGTCTCCATAGTTGCTGTGTCTATTATTTGCTTAAATATTTTAAGATAAAATAGAGATATGATATTTCACTCATACATTCTTCCATATGAAACTATTTTCCCCAATTAATAACAATACATACATGTATAATTACTATGTATGAGTACATTGTTATATGGAGGAAATAGAATATGATACTTAAGAGATTATATTCCAGAGTTCCACTGCAAGCATTTGAATCCCAGATGTGCCATTTTCTGGCATGGTGATTTGGCAGTCACCTAACCTCTCTGTTTTTCCCTCTTGGCTTGAAAAGTAAAGGTAATAGTGATATCTACCTCATACAGTTATGTGAAAATTAAATTAGTTAATGCATATAAAGCATTTAGAATATTCCCTGTCTTACAGTAGGCAATTTAGAAATATTAGTGAGTGTAATTTTTTAAATTAATAATTATTATTATTACAATAAATTTAATATTGATTTGAAGTGATTTTAGTTCTCCATGGGGACACATTTATGCATGTGTGTGTGTTAACAATAATTAAAGAGTACTAATTTGAATTATTTTATTGTTAAGGATATCCTTACATTTGTGTGAAAAACTTAAGAAATACTTAACCAAATAAAAATTGAAATAGAATCTTCTAAAACACGTTTACAAGTGCATGTGACTGCAATGTAGAAATTTGTCGTGAAATCCTTGTGAGTGGTATATATCCAGATTAGAAAAGATAATTAAATGTCTAAATAAAATGGAAAATAGCTAACAATGCAACACATAGTTATGAAATTCCACATTCAGGTTCTCCTTAGTTTTGATGGGTGGAGATGCCACTATACCAATGAGGAACTGCCCTCTCCTTAGTTTTAAAATTTATTTAGGTTCTTGTTTTGGTTTTTAGAGACATCTGTCCCAATAAATCTTTAACTTTCCTAAAGGTTTAGCGAAGTAGATTCTGCAGAAGGCTTGAGTTGTGCTAGCATGCAGCACTATTTTCTTAATTCCTAAAGCAAGCAAAGAGAAAGCAGATCATTGCAAACCCTTATTAACCTAATTCTAAGATCTATGTTTTGGACTGAAATCCAAATGAAATAAATTCAACCCAGAATTCCCATGTCGATAAATTAGGTTGATTTATTCGCTACATTTTATTTTATTGATTACGTTAAAAATGTGACCTGTCTGGGACATTTGGCTAGTCTGCTGAATTCCCTTGCATATTTATGTTGCTATTTATTTTCTTACTGGCCTTGTCTACATTAAAATTAATTCCAACATAATGTCCTTTCTAAACGTCTTTTTAAAAGGCCAATCATTCATTTTATTTTATAGAAATAGCAGTCTGCTTCTAGAATGAACCAAGAGCAGTATGTATCAAACAGTGAGGAAAGATGTTCTAATTATTAAAAAAGGAATCAAAGTCTAGTTTCCTCTCTCTCTTTTTTTAAA